AAACCCAGTGCTCGGGTGCCGTGGTTGAAGGGTTTTATATTAGGGTGTCCCGCTACATTGCCACTTTTGCAACGTGCCTCCCAGTGGATCACTTGTACCGATCCACAGGAGCGAGATACCGGAACCAGCAGCGGGCGCGGAGAGCATGCCAGCTTCAGGGGGGGGGGTAAGTTAAGACGGTAGATTCTTCTCTGAGAAGGTACCGAGGGAGCGTCAATTCTTCCCGAGATCAACAGAGTCCGACAGAACGGTCCGGTTCGTGTAGAAATGATAGATACTAGCCGACCACGTGACAACCCATGCCAATGGACAATGCACCATATGATCTCCTCGTGCCCAACGGCATTCGGGGGTGGAGTTGTCCTACCGGCATAGTTGTGCTAGGAGGAACAAGCCACACGACTAGCAATCACATAATGAAGACCTCTGCAGATTGCGTGACGGTCCTGAAAACCATTCAGGTGCACGGGTGCTCTTTCTACCATGTCGATCATTGAGAAACTGGACATTCCACCCTACGATATAATAGTCTAGACGCCGGTGTCACTGGCCTATCCATGGAGGAATCCACAGCGCTACCATACATGACTAATCTAGCCCAGTGCAGAACTCGATCCTCAATCCCATGGTTTTGAGAAGCCCGAGTAGGTCACCGGCCACTCAAGCCCGGCGGTACTAGGAATTATGCAATCTCGGGATAACTGATTTTGAAGGGTTTTCCTAAGTTCAAGTTAGACTTATTTCATGGTATTAAGATCAGGTAAACAGGGTGAGCATCTAGCTAACTCAATTCCACTTCCATTAAATTGTTCCTGTACTACTGGTGCACTATGGGCTATGCAATTGTCTTGCTAAAAGATTTAATCATCAATGATATCACAAACACATTTCAGGATTAAGATTACTAGGAATATTTCAAGAAGTCAAAAGTAGATGTGCAAGTTTACTGATTTCACCACCAAAGATATAAAGACCACTTGATTTCCCTCTTCAAAATATCCTCAAACTATTAATGAAATGTCTTTTCCCTTTCCAATTCCTATAATACAGTCATCACATTATTTTCACTGCTAGAACCAAACATTCATTTTAGACAAGAATTACTATTTCTCTCCACCAAGTATTCATTACTCCATACTACTTCCTGAAAATTCCCAACAGTTTAATCTTTGGATATTTTAATCTAGACTAACCTCTTTCAAGCTTACTCAGGTATCAGTTTTACTCTCTTTTGTACTATTCACTTAGTACTATATACTTTCAAATCTCAGTTAATAGTATCAATTGAAATATACAGTACAAATTTCCACTACAACTCCTGTACATTCCAGCTTGTATAAACCTTTACTCTTCATACAATTACCCTTTTCCCTTACCAGAATAGCAGGAGTAGACTGTCAGAGTGGGAAAGGCTCTCTATAGTATTCTTCTTGAGAATTGAGTAAGAAAAGTTTATACTATCAACTAGGAACAGCCGACTATCTAACAGAGAATAAAAGTGTTCATAAAAATCTTGAGAAAAGAGAGTATCACCACCCCCCTCCCATCCAGGTTGAACTATTGGCATGATATTTTGGATACCATGGTTATTGGTTTGGTAAAAATTCTACAAGTTGCACATAATTGCCCCTCTTAAAAATGCTCACTTATTCACCATTTCACAAAGACTTTTGAGAAGAGGCTGCGATAATCAGTAAACTAAAGGTCAGCAATTTCCCCATCTCAATACCACGGGTTTATCCTATTCTCCCACCCTCCCCCCCTTTAGCACTCGCTCAGTGAGACCAAGGTTAGCTCAACCCAGTGTCACTTGATCTGATCCTGCTCACTTAACTATGCTCTTCGAGACCTAGGGTGCAGACTGTCAACAATTGCCTTGTAGGATACCATACCGTCCGCTGCTGTGCAGTACGAGTACTACACTTCGCTGGGGCTCGAACCTCTCGGCACGTTGGAGGCATCATACATGTACCGTAAAGTACTCGTACTTTGACGGAGGCGCATTGTTTCTTTGGAGAAGATGGTATGATACAAAGTGACCTTCTAACGAGAGCAGTACACGATACTGAGCACGGGGATAGATAATTGTCTCGTCTCCCTCACTTCCAAGTTGAACCTAACAAAACTTATTCAATCATACATACTGTCTGTGATACGGCAACTACATGAACGGAGAAGTATCCAAAAGGCAACTGGTATGATGATAAAAAGCCAGAATAGGAAAATAAATAAAATATAATAATAATAATAATAAAAAGAGCAATCCAGCAGAATAACGACCGGAATATCAAGAATATACAAATCAGGGACAGGTTCATTTCACCATCCACATACCGTGCACGGTCAAGCACAGACGGGCCAAACAGTTGTACTGTACAGTACCAGTACTGTACATACAACAAGGGAAAACCCAACATCAATGCCAAGGTATCATACTCGTACCAGCACCCAAAGCAAAAAGCAAACCAAGTTTAGTCTACTCAGGTACCAATATGGGTACCATGGAAGCCGTAGACTATCATATGCCCACAATAGACTACATCCGCGCATTACCTCGGCACTCGGCTTGATCTGTACCCAACTTACACTAGTTTGCCATATCATACCACGAAAAAATCAAAACCTCCCTTACGAGTACCATGATATTCACAACGACCACCCGCTCAACATTGCATGCATCACGACATTCCCCCGATCATAGCAGATTATCCCGCCCCATCCTGGGCAAAAAAATCTATGAGAATGTTTTTTCTTTTTCGCTCTCGACTTGGATAATGGATTCCTAAATCCTCTGGCATATTTCCGGGTATTTTTTTTTTTAGTCATGCCAAGGTGTTTGTCATGGGGTGGGGTGGTAAGGCGGGGTTGAACCCCTCGGTGTCACAGAAAGAGAAAAAAAAGGATTTACGAGTGCTCTATCTTTGTGACGAACCCGGATCATTGCTAACTTGAATTCTCTCTTGGATTTTTTATCGTGTGTGGCTGCGAAGAGGGGGGGGGTATAGTGTTAATAGTATTATACTGGTACGTTTATATCTGGAAACTTCAAGCATCCCACGATCACCGGAACTGTGGTTATTATGATGCAGCACTCAACATGACCTTCCGAGCCCCTGAAACTAAAAGGTACAGTACAGTGCGATCGTGCCTCTTTAACCCCCAACCCTCAGTACTGTGTCTAATTCCGAACCCCGCACCCCCCCCCCATCAAATTTTGACCCCACCACATACATATCCACCGAGACAAGTAGTGCGCATACCTTTCTATCGCCTTTGTATATTTCACGAACCAAGTTATTCATGTAAGTATGTATGCATGCATGTCTGTATGTATGTCCAAGGCACTGCACGACCGCCCACGAGAAGCTTATCTCGCAAGTCAAATCATCCATCCATTCACCCATAAAGGCGGCACTACCAGCATCATACATCGACGCCTGTTTGCCTACTACATTTCTACACCTGTGTGTGATGTCTTGAGTGGCGCACGCCGTGCTGCCTGTATATCGTATGCTGCAGGAGTTGCCGCAAATTTGCACATGCGCCTTCCCTCCACTTTCCTCCCGGGTAGCGTGTTATATATAAACTCCCTCCCTAAGCAAGCGCTTCCGTTTTAATTCACATTATTCGGCTGGCCGAACCCATGTACAGTACAGTACTCGCGAGGTTGGGTTGAATTCACGTGTCCAAAGCTAGTAGCGATCGTCGGTCGGGCCAATAGGAATTAGTGTGACTTAATGGATGCGGTACTGAATTCGGCAGTCTAGCAGCGATATGCAATCCGTGGCAGCTGGAGGAAGCCGCCATTCAATAAACTCCAGTACTCATAGCCACAACGACTCGCACCTGTTCTGTCCTGTAATATGCTACCGTATTAATGCATTCTAGAACGGGGGCTTGTGGATTCATGGCGAAGAAGCATTATAAAAACCTCACGTGTTCGTGATGTATTGATTCACGAGAATTCTATATTCAGTACTTCATCCATAGCGTCGCTCTAGCTCCTACTAGCCCAACAATCGCTATTAGCTTTGGGTGCGCGACTCCAACTCGTCCGTGCAAGCAGTGCCGCACCATATGCACCTCGATTTTGGTGTCTGTCAGTACGCTACTACTGTGGTACTCAAGTATCCCCAAGCGTTGGCCCATGTCTAGAAATGATCATCCCGACAGCCCAAAATAAAAACTAACCTGCACAAGACCCCCCACCCCATAACCACCGCAAGCACCTGGCCACCCGATCCCCAGGGCCACACAATATGTACCAGTCCCACAGTCCACCCGCATCATCCCCACCGCCATCCCATCGGCCTGGCCTGCCCATCTACCATGCCACAAAAACCCCACGTAAAGTAACACAAGCACAGCAGGGCTTCCATCCAGTCCAGTCCATGCGCCTCATCTAAAACACATCCTATTACTAATCCCAAATAGCTATCACGCCAAACCAGTCTCCTCAATCAAGCTTTTCGCCCGGCCCCCATTCCCGAGACATTTTTCCCAGCAGTTCGTACCGGCAAAGCTTATCTTTGCCCAAGGGCTGCATCATCATGAGCAGAGCAGGCTGTGAGTGCGACTGGGTGAGCAAATGAGCCAAAGGAATGTATAGTAGCCTAACATCACCCTCGCAGCACGGCTTGGATATTGTCACGGGTTGGAAGGGCTATGTTATTGATGAAATAGGACCGAAGACTGATTCTGGAGGAGGATGCAAAGGAGGATGCGGAGGAATAGGTGAGGTAATGATCTGCACCACCACAAATTTGCCCAGTATTTCCACAGTGGTCCACCATGCCTACTGCACTTCAACTCTTAGCTTGGATTAATCCCACATAGAGGAGCAGACACAGGTTCAATCCGAGAAAAGCGAGTCCACATATCCAATACCGTGCGGCGCCAGACCAGCGATAATCTGGCACAGGTAGATCTGGAATGGCCACGACACTGGATACCCTATGACATTTGACTCCACATGCAAGCGCGTCAATCCCACCTCACGACCCCATCACTCCCCACTTCTTCTCCAAGCCATATCCAGGCATAAGGAGCATGTATGCAAACATATCTGCGAACTTTCCTTGTTTTTTCCATTTCTCATTTCCCCATTAAACCCTGCATGTCAGCCGTTATTTAACATGACCCATTTGTGTATGCCAGTACCGCTACCGCAAGTGGAACCGAACAAACCATGCCAAACCGTACCCGATCCATCCATCCATCTTACCAAACGCACGTCTCGATATTGTATATATGCACCATCCACCAAGTATATGGAGCGGATATCGGCACACTAGGTTAATGGCATTGGCTACCCCACGCTCACTAAATCCCATTGCCCTGGTTCTGCGCAATTAAGAGCGGTTGCGATTGAGGTAGGGTAGGTTAATATCGGAAGCATTAATAGTCACTCGGTAGGTACCGAGTTTTCGGCGTTTACTGTAGTGAGTATATGTGAGAAGTTGAACTACTCAAGTTACACTGACTCTTAACCCAGATGCTTCTCGATTGCGGGATTGCATTCGTTGTAAGGGATCGAATAGCTATTCCAGGTGGTGCGTTGCATTGGGTTGCTTTCTGGGAGAGGTTAGATTGAATACCAGGGACAGGTCTCATCAAGCCCATTGGTCGAACCTATGTACCGCTGTCGGTACATGAAAAATACAATGGCACTATTTTTCCTTATCGAAAGCGAAATGAGGCCTTCTGCCGTGCTGTGTGCAATTGTTTTCCGATTTTCCCTGTGCCGACTCTCTCTTGCGCTCCGCGGACGCTCTTGCCATTACGTTTCTCAGCGCAAAAGGTATGTTTATAATACCTCCTTCCCCACCTTCTTATCTCGAGGCCATGTTCCGTCAATCTTCACGAGCTGGTATACCACCGCATGTAAGCCCCCACATTGGTCTCGCCGATAGATCCCCCTCGCCTCGCATATACCTAAAAAAATAAAAACACAACAATTCTAGAGACGGATGTCCAAAAGGAAAGTTCCGTGCTTCGCACGCGAAACCTAAAAAAAGAGGAAAGAAGGAAAAAAAAATGCCGGGACAACCATTCCTGGCATGCATGATAGAAAGCCTTTGGAACACAACTATTGATATCGGTACTCGAGCACTAGTACCGCACAGTAAATCTTCTTGTGTACTCGAATATATTGGTTTCGCTGGCTGTCTCCTCTGCCTTCGATTCGTGATTTCATGCGTCAGCGCACAGACTTTTGGAGGCTTAAAAAAACACCAGATATGAGGAAGAGGAAAAGAAAAAGAAAAGAAAAAGGACCCCCGCCAAGAGGGCTTGGTCTCGCGCAATCGTGCGCTAGGGCCTAGATCGGATTTCTGCTGTTCCGGACAAATGCCAGCATGCAAGAGGGAAAGAGCATTCAGGGTCCAACTCCCGTGAAGAGATCTGTTCCGAATTTGATGATCTGGAGAGAGAGGTGATTACAACCGCTCGAATCATATAAAACCCTTACTAGAATGCTAAGTGTCGCGGGTAAGTGTATCACCCTGCTGGATATGCTTGTATATGTGTGTGTTTGGTCCGGATAGGAATATGATGATTCCATTTTTTCTGCCTCCGATTTGATAGGCTGGTTAGAATTCTCGCCTGACGGTTCCGGAGGGACACCGTTGAACATATCTTGGCGATGTTGCGAGGGCGATGTACCCGTACATGACAATGTCCCAAACAATATCCAAGGAAGACAAACCATCACCGAGTCTGGACCAGCGTAGCAAGACAACACGTGTGGGTGTCGTGACGCTCATTCGTGACTTTTTCGCGTTGTCAAGGGAAGTTAGGTGGACTGGTTTGGTTAGACTGGAGGCACGATGTGCCAGGCCGATGTAGCAAGTTGTGATCCAGGGGAGGGGAGAAAACATTGGTACCGCCATCCACCTCCGTAAGAGTCACCCCCTTCCACCCACCCGAAATCCCACCCACTGTCAATCGATGACAGGCGTCCATCGCTCAACAGCGCAGACGCATGCGAGAAAACAGGAGCGAACTGAGCTGTACTTGTAGGAAAAAAGTGAGGCGGTCAAACCACAGAAAATGGCCCGAGAAAACCGGAGAAACATCCTTGTATATGCCTGTGTTACGAGGAAAACGGCCGTTCCGACCCGATCCAGGCACCCGGACCCCAACGACGGACGACAAACAGCAAGCAAAGAGGACGAGCAATGTTTAATTTTGAGCCCCATTTCCCATTACGTACTATACGTAGCCAGTTCTGGTGCTCGATGCAACCTATCCCATCATAAATCTACGGCTAGGGAACGAGGTTCGATTTAAGTATAGACCCTATATTCCATGTAAGTTATCCAGTGTACTGCGCATGCATGCTGCAGCCGATATAGAATCAGAAGTGGTAATGTATCGGTGATAGAACCGGCTCATCTCTTCCTCCACTTGTCTCACTGGTTAGTGTGGGGTGAAGTTTAAGGGTTCCTTATGTCTTCCGTTATGCACATGCCGCTGATATCGAAAGTCGTGTGAGGGGGGGGGGGCACGGTAGGACGGGCGGGGAAGGCACAACATACCGGTACAAGATACAAACAGAAGGGAGGGGGGAAGATAGCGGGCATTTGGGCAAACGAAGGGGAAACTCCAGATCTGGAGAATCAGCAGGATGCGGTGGAGGTTGCGGAGCGGTTGGAGATCCAGCCTATCTGTAAGGAGGCGTCCTGGGCCGCAAGAGCGAGGGGGGGAAGCCTCCACAGAACCAAAAGATAAGGGACACAAACATCCACACGCGTTTCCGGTAAGTGCATATAAACATGCTTTTAAAATCAATCAATGATTGGTCCGGGGGAGGGTATCATATCGCAACAATTGCTACATACGAGTAGTGGGATGGGAAGGACTCCAGGGGGGGGGGGGCGGGAACACCAGGGATGGGGCTGAAAGAACTAGACCTGGCAACCCCTTGGTGGGGGAGAGAGATTGTGTGAATGGTGGAATAGCGAGTGAGAGAGCGAGTGAGGTACGGTACTCGAGTATGATACCATATGCATGCTTGGGGCTTTCGCCTGGCTGCATCTCCGGTCTAGGCGGCGACGGGGGGCCGTGTGTTTACGTCTACGTGAGGTTAGGGCACTTGGAGGAAAAAGGACAACAAGATTCACACAGAACCAGGGCACAGGTAGTTAACCACTCGCTCGCCTACAGTTCAAACAGTGGATGGACCATCATTAGGTAGCCGAAGAGGGGAAGAGGGAGAGGGAGAGGGAGTCGATGCGCGGAACTAAGTAGTCTCATCGTTAATTCAAACCTTTTCCCTGTCTGCTGAATCTTGGCTTGTTTATAGTTGGTTCGTCCATTCCGCTGGGGAGAGTGTGTGCTCGATTGTTATTAAACAACATGACATCCTCCCAACTTTTCTTCTTTTCCTGAGCTGTCCACTGCTTGAGTAGAGAGTACAGGATCTGCAGAAAGGCGACTCTCCTCCCGTTAGAAGCTACATAACACTGTCGCCCAGTCGTTTTCTTCCTTCTTTCATTTATTACTTTAACTCGCTCGCTAGCTGCTCTCCCATAGGGGGTTGCGGGAGAAGGGAGAAAAGCGAACCCACCATCTCAGCGACTGACAGTGAAAAGGGTGAACAAGGGAGAATAAGCCCCTCCAAAAGACAGACAAGACAGAGGATCGTCTTATTCTATTCCCCGCTATATCTATTCCCTTGCCCACCACAATTGTCACCTCCTTATTTTACCCTTTTTTGTCTCTCTCCATCCCATAGTATTTCTCTCCGCCTTCGTCGACCCCGCCTCTTGCCCTTGGCCTTTGGGTTTGCCTTCCCTAGTCGTCACGGGCTTCGTTGTTGTTGTTGCCGTAGCCAACTTTACAGCTATAAATTCCCACCCAAACTTGCTTCAGTCATCATCCTCTTTTACCAACTCTGGTCTTTTTTTTTTTTTCTTGTTCTCCTGCATCCTCTCTTTCCCCTTTTCCCCTCACAACCCCTCGTGACTACTCACCCATATCTGTCAGCATGGCTCCGTCAGTCCAGTCTTCACCTAAAGTCACTTCCCCCCGCTCCCCCAAGATGGTCTCTCGTTGCCCTAGATCACCAAGGGTTGTGTCGGCCTTTCTCTCACCCGTTCCCCTTCCTGCCTCGAACACACCTCAAAATCTACTTCCTTTCGATAACAATCCCAACAGCCTTCAACAGCTTCCTCCTTACATATCATCCCCACATCCCATCAAGCAAACACAGCACTCATCCATTGCGAAATCTGTTATGAGCACGCCTGGAATGGCACGCACAAATTCTGCCGGGAAAGAGGCCGCCGAACTTCTTTCTCCGCCAAACCAATCATCTATGGGACAGGCACTGACTGACACTCCCGCCACCACGGCGCCAAATTCTCCTAGAATGTGAGGCTTCTCCCTTTGTTTCATCCGTTCCATCTATTCATTCTACAGAACAATCTTTTCGGCAGGCATACTGACATTGCTATGATCCACTATCCAGCCGTGCCACAACCTTGGACATACCCGGATTAACAAAGTCGCGGGTCTCTCCAGATGGTCGTATCGCACGCCGTGACATTGGCGCCAAGCTTGTTATTGTTATGGTCGGCCTCCCCGCTAGAGGAAAGAGTTATATTACGCAAAAAGTGGCTAGATATCTCAATTGGTTACAGCACGACACCAAAATCTTTAATGTTGGTAACAGAAGAAGAATTGCAGCCGGCGCGCAGGACAATTTAGCCAATAACGAGCCTCTCCACCCATCAGTGAAACCTACAGGACCTACCATGCCCGCGACTTTGTTACACGGGACTGGCCTGCTTTCATCAAAGACTCTTTCGTCCATTGTACATTCCAGCCCTAGCACTGGCGGGCACCGAAGAGCTGATTCCGTTACATCTGTTGACATTGATGGAGGTGTTGATCAGTCTGCATCTTTTTTCGATCCGGCAAACAAAGCAGCAGCCGAACTCAGGGAGAAGGTGGCTATGGAAACGCTCGATGAGTTGCTGGACTACGTTCTTAATCAGGGCGGCTCTGTTGGCATCCTTGATGCTACCAATTCTACGCTTGAGAGGAGGAAGGCAGTTGTTGATAGGGTGAGGGAGGTTGCTGGAAAGGAATTGGGTGTCTTGTTTCTTGAGAGTGAATGTCATGACCAACAGCTTCTTGAGGCAAATATGCGATTGAAGTTGAGTGGTCCGGATTACAAGGGGCAAGATCCGGTCAAGGCGCTGGAGGATTTCAAGAAAAGGGGTATGTTCTCACTAACATTCTTGTGCGCGGTTTGTCAAGCTAATTGCTCTGCTCAGTTGAAATTTATGAAAAGAATTATGTTCCTCTCGGCGAAAATGAGGAAAGGACCGGAATGCAATTCATCAAGGTATTCTACCCTAATGAAAATCCCGACAATTCTTACTAACTATTGCCAGATGATCGATGTTGGCCGAAAGATCGTTACCCACCAAACTAAGGGTTTTTTGGCCGCACAGACTGTCTATTTCTTGCTTCATTTTAACCTTGCTCATCGTCAAATTTGGATCACCAGACATGTGCGTCACTCCTAGCCGTGGTGTGTGGCATGATCATTTATTAATTCGGATTGCCTATTAGGGTGAGTCACTCGACAACGTTGCGGGCAAGATTGGGGGCAACGCTCTTCTCAGTCAGAACGGGAAGAAGTACGCCAAAACTTTGGCTCAATTTATGGACGGTGAGTATTGAAATTCTATTTATAGCAGTTCTCGGTGATGCTGATGGCTACAGTTGAACGTAAGAAGTTCCGTGAAAAGCAGCTTCAAAGGCATGAATCTTCACATATGCCTCCTCGTCCGGGCGACACCACACCCCCTAACCCAGAGTACTCGAATTGTTGTACTCAAGATGAGTATGGAAGGCCTCTGGAAAAGAACTTTTGTGTATGGACTTCCATGCTCGCAAGGAGTATCCAAACAGGCCAATTCTTTGACGAGGAAGAATATGACATTAAAGAGATGCGGATGCTTAACGAACTCAATGCTGGTGTAGCTGAGGGTTTAACGTATGTTTTTCTCCAATTATTTCTATCAATCTCAAGCCTCTCTGACGCACACTCTAGCTACGACGAAATCAAGAGTCAATATCCCCAAGAATACGATTTGCGTCGCCGTGACAAACTACATTACCGTTACCCTGGGGCCGGTGGCGAGTCTTATTTAGATGTTATCAACCGCCTTCGCGCCGTAATTGTGGAGGTTGAACGGATGACAGATCACGTCTTGTTGATTGGTCACCGCGTAGTTGCTAGGGTTTTGCTAGCTTACTTTCTTGGCCTCGAGAGGGAAGACGTTGCCAAGCTCGACGTTCCTCTGGGAACTATCTACGTTCTTGAGCCGGTATAATCCCTATTGCCTTTGAACCCTTACTGTGCTAACGGAGGTTCAGAAACCGTACGGCGTTGAATTCCGGGCCTACAAATACAACTCAGAAACCGAATGGTTCGACTTTCAGCCAGATTTCAAACTCAAAAATGAAGAACAAAAAGACATAAAAGTGAATGTTAAGGTCGCCATGAGCACCTAAAGCCCTTGGATTTTCTTGTTTCCTCTTCTCTTAAGTTCTAAACTCTCCACTTTACTTTCTGCTTCGCGTTTTGTTCCATACTTTTTTTTCCTTCCCCTTTCCTCCGGTCCCTTGTTTCACATGCAATCCACGCCAGGATATGTTGATGTTTTCAGCACAGATCTTATATGCATTAGTTAATGGCTGGCTGAGAAGGTATTCATACAGTTTCAGTTACGCTTTTTTCTCTCTCCCTCCCCCCATTGTCGATTTATTACTAGGATACCTACACTCTTCTTTTCTCCTCTCCCTACAGACATAA